CAGCTGCCCCACTGCATGTTAAGCCCTGGATAGGCAAAGGAAAGAAAGAAAAAGGAGATGCTTCGGGGGTTCACAAGCCAGTGACTTCAGTCCCTGCATCAAAGTTACTGGTTATGTAAATCCAAGATGACGCAAGTCTTTCCCTGAACCCCTTCATTCTGTGACGTACCATCAACGCCATCTGTGGTCTCGCTTTCTTCTTCTTCTTCTTCTAGCATTTCAAAAGGAGTCATTATATCATAGAGAAATGAGAGGAAACCATAAAACCAATCTGAACTTTCCTCTGCTAAAATATTAAGGACTTCCTCAAGAGAATCAATATTTTCATTACTGCCATCTTTGGTCAGGCCTACATAAGAATAAGGAAGAGAGAAAGAGAAAATAAGGAGAGCAGTTAGGTGGAAAAAAGAAGTTGAGGAAGAGTGATCTCAAAAAGGATGTGCATCATGGTCAAGGAGGTTTACAGAAAAGATATTTTGGAAAATAAAGAAATCGGTTAAGATGCACACCTTACAATCAACTCTCAATCATATGGACTAAAGGAAAAGCAATTTGACCAATCCTCACCCTTCCTACCAGCCCCTAACCGGGTTTGCCTTTCTCTCATCAGAGAACTGAGAGCCAAAAAAACCACAAAATTGTATCAGCCAAAATAGACTGACCAACTTCAACGGGAAAAGTGAGTAAAAGTAGTATGAGGATAAAAAGACACTTCCGACAAGCCCCACATTTGCTGATGTAGCACCCAGATATTATCGAGAGTTGATTATACAAACATTTACATATATCAATAAATATTCACTGAAAACAGAAATGTTCATTTCCTCAAACTTTTCCCTTTAGGAGCTGCAGTTAGTTTAGGAAACTCTGGAATTAATATGGCTAGCAGGGTAACTGTTCAGCCTCCACAGATGGGCACCAACGTGCTCAAATTATACCAGATAGATAACTTAAATTTTAAAACTAGAAAATCTTAGCTTTATAATGCTCTGGTTACTGACTTGTGGTCCTGTCATTCTGACCAATAATAAGAGTCAGCTATTAATAACAATTCGCTCAGCCTACCAATATGAGATGTGATCGAGGCCAGTCACCTGCAACAGGAACATTCCAGAGTTCTCTCCCTATCAGCTCACCAAATTACCTTCTACTGCAAAGATCCCAGACCCCCATATGGAAAGAAAGCAGTGTATATATCGCTTTTATCATTTGTTTTTGTCCTGTGAAGAACTGGCTTTGGGTAAGACTGGTCTCTTGGGTCCAGTAGGTATCAAAGTCCACCAATAGAACTGTCAAGTTCTATACAGTAAGTTCCATAACTTTGAGGAGAAAAAAAGAAAACAGGCCGTAAGAAATATGCACATCTACGATTTTAGAGCTTTTCGGATTATAACCACCTAATCTGGTATTTCTGGCTTTGACAACACAGAATTTGTCCACACAGCATTAACTACCAGCAATCAAGACTGGCAGGTAAGGGATAATAATAAGACAACTAGTTTAATGTTAAAGATTATAGTGAATTTTCCCCACATTAGTCCATAGAAGAACTACATTGCGCCATTCTTCATGCATTGGGTGGGGGGGGGGGGAACCCCCAATTTAATGTTAAAGATTATAGTGAATTTTCCCCACATTAGTCCATAGAAGAACTACATTGCGCCATTCTTCATGCATTGGGTGGGGGGGGGGGGAACCCACAACTTCAGTCGGTATTTAAATTATTTTTTGACCAACCCAGCATGTTTCTTCACTGAATTGAACAATTGACAAGTGCTGTGAACAGAGATCTGTATTCCCACCCAAGCCCCTGTGGGAATAACACTATTTCTTCTTCTTGTCCAAAAACTCTACAGCTGTACATTTAGAATAAACATTTTTCTTTTTCTCCATTTTCCAATAGAAGTACTTCCAAGTATTGAATATAAAATACAAAACTTTACCACCCTTCAGCATGACAGGATGAAGTATGCAACAAATATGCAAAAGTATCTGAGCAAAACTGATGACCCAACTATGCAACAAATATGCAAAAGTATCTGAGCAAAACTGATTACCCAACTATGCAACATTTTTGTGGTTCTTAAGACAAAAGTACTAGTCCAAAGAGAAAAAGAAAATATGTTCTGGATTTATCATTCCTTAACCTCTAAGAGAAGGCCTGAACCAAAGAGCAGCATGTGCCTGGCTTCGGGCAAGATCCAGCCCTCCCTTCCCTACTGCTCACTCAGGCATCTGTCAAGGCTACAAATGTTTGTCAAGGCTCCAGGGACTGCCTTCCCTTTTGTTCTCTGGCCATAGCTGGTGCCAGCTAGGTGCCAGTCACAGGGCAAAAGGATAACTATGTAATCCACAGGTGGTGTTACTCTAAGAAAATGTTACTCAGAATTTAGTCCTCTTTCCTATGGATTTATTTGGGAAACAAGTTTTCAAAGAATACATTATGAGACAATGTAGCTTTCAATCATCCAAACCAAAATCAAAGACATTTTATTTTAGATAATTGGGCCACAAAAGTAGGAAGGAATGTAAACAAGACCAGGCTTAGAATATTTTCAAAGTATACTGTAAGGGCCATGGCCAGAAATAATAAAATTAATGATGGCTATTGATCTTGATGTACTCCCATATTTCATTCTCTTTATAGTTCATAAGAAAAGCAAACTTTGAAATGTAAAAGAGATGTAAACATGAACATGTACATTTCCTCAAATTGATCAAATTTAGATATGTGCAAATTTAAGACTCCAGAAAGAAATACTAATGAGAGAAATCCAAACCTATGGAAGTTCAGCATAACCATTACCACACCTGGCATGCCAAGCTCTCACCCAATCTCTGACTTTCTACTTTCATCCCTCCCCAGGGATTCCCTCTGCCTTAATCCAAGTCCCTTAACCTTGAACTGGTTCTCCAATGAGAACGTTCCCCCAGAGATCTGGCTCCTTTTAGGGTACACACTCACTGAATCTGCTCCCCCGTAATCTCTCCCTGAACATACAGAGCCCAGCAAGGCCAGAATTTCACCTGGTTCTTGCAACCATCCACCAGTAACAGAGGCACAACTAGGCTACAATAACCTCACAAAGTAGAAAAGAACCTTAGTCATAAAATTCAATTCCCATCAAGGTTGTATTTCATGCAGAGAATTCAAACACTACAGAATAAGATTAGAGGTCAAACAGCTTACATTAGTTTCTTTCACCTTTACCAAAGCCACAAGCCAACTGCAAATTTGTACACACACACAGTAAAATAGTTTATCTTAGCCTTTGCGCATTTAATAGTCAAATTACCAAATGAACACTCAGATTCACCAACTGAGTTCTGTCTCCAAGTATATGATTCTTGCAAAAGGAACAAGTTACCATTTGCCCATACCACATATGTGGCTACCCACAAATGGCAATGTTCTAAATTACAATTAATTAAACTCTTAACGGTTGCTTAAAAATATTAAGGGGAACAAATTTTTGAAATCTAAAATACTAAAAATCAAGTTATTAACGTAAGTTTGCAATAGAAATCAATGTGTGCTGTAGAAGAAATAACATGTTTTAATTTTTAATAGTTGACATTTCCTGACAGACCAAGATAGCTGATTTTAAGCACCTGCCCCCTTAAAAAAATCAACAAAATACAGCAGATAAGTAATATTATTTCTAAAAGTGAGGCAACGGCTCACATGAAGTTATTTTTAAATAAAAAGCTTTGCTATTCAGAATCTGTCATTTAAAGAAAAGTAACAAAATGAAGTAATAAACCATTTATAGGCAAGCAAATTAGCATCATTCTGAAATAAGGTCTATATAATCTTTCTTACGCATGCCTAGGATTATAGTCTTCTGAGAATTTACCATATTTATAGAAACCCAAATTTAGATATATAATGTCAAAATTATGTAGAAAATTCTATTACGGTTAAGACAGGAAAAGAAATTCCATGGGTATAGGAAGCTTTCACTGTTAAGTAGCAAATATAGTTCTCACTGAGCAGTAACAAGAAAACAATGTCAAAATTAAGATGTTTTATTACATTTCAACACAGATTATCTCCCATTTTTTTCATATCCATAAAATATACACAAAATTGCGTGTCTAGGAAGAATTTGTGCCATTATTCTATTAAGCTTACTATGTAAACCTTGCCACATTTGTTATTTTTCTAAAGACTTTAGTATAAAATGTTTTAATGCATATTATTACGCTACATACTAAAACAAAGGAAAGGATGCTGTTTAACAAGCAGAAATCATATCTCACCAGGCCATTAATGTAAAATTTGCATATTAAAATTAGCACCATCCTTTCTAGTATGAGACTATTTTAAAATTAAATGAAGGAATATCACATCTTTATCTATTATAAAAAAAATCTCAATGATAAAGACGGGTAATTCTGGTGATAAAAGAGAAGGGTCCAAGACTTAAATAAAATCAAGAAACCTTGCCAAAGACTACTAGTTTATATTTTAATGTTACCTTTCAAATAGTCATAGGACATTATAAGATGTTTACCACCACTATTTTATTTCAGAATGAATTTATGTAAGCCTTCAGAAATTTGCATTTTCAAATGGACATTGAATTATGTCAAATGATGCTAAAGAATGGTCGCCATTACCATATGTGAAAGCAGACTAGGACATTATCTACATGTTCAAATGTTAAGTTCAGAATATAAAGTGCTTTAAATCTAAAAACACATATGAAATTATATTACTTATAATATCTGTGCAGGAGCTATATACTTATCCATTTGTAACAGTAAATTGAAATGTGAGAGTTTATAGTAAAATAATTAAGCCATTCAACATCCCAACAAGAATGAAATAAATGATTTAAGTGGGAAAATATCTTTCATAAAATGGAAATGACTGACACAAACATTACTAAAGCTAAAATATTGGGTTGGCCAAAAGGTTTATTTGGCCAACCCGATATTATTTTGCTTCCAACATTTTAGCACCACTAATTAAAAAAACAAAAATGTGTACTTGCCTAATAAAACTTTGGCATCATCTACATCAAAATCTCCATCACCATCAGCATCATAGATTCCCAGTTTTCCTACAAGAGGGGAAGGAAAGACGGATATGGGAACAAAAGGAAAAACAAATTTAATAAGGTGTTAGTATTTCTTACAGTCCTGCATATCGGCCATTAACGCAACCAATCAGTGCAACTCTTTGCAACTTTCATCCTTAAAAGCCGTGCTAATGATAATCTCACTTTAAAATGAAGGCAGTTCACTTAGAGATTGAGGAAATATTCACCTAACAAATCTAAGAAATATAACTCAGATAATATTTTCTTTAAGGGCTTAACGATACCCTGAGATTTAATCATTTCAGAGTAGTTTTTTTTAACTTTACTGCTAAAAATATTTTAGGTAAAATTTTCAACATATATAAGGAATAATACAGATCCATTTCTAACAGTTACATGAAATTTAATGTTTCTAAAGTACAGAAGTTCCTCACACCATTAATATTCAAAACAAAAGAACACCCACTGAGCCTCAAATAAAGACCATATATAATTAACATCGAGTATAAGTACTAAAAATAAGAGGATGATTAATTTTACGTTTCATAATAATGATTTATGACAGAAGCATCATGAATCAACCTTTAAAAACAGACTTCTGGAAATAAAGTATGTAAAACTGGCTTTTTGAAACTACAAAGGAAAACTTACACTTATCCTACTTAAAAATGTAATTAGCACTGGCCACCTACTACTACGAAAAAAAATAAGGCTTAGAACAGACAAACTGAGAAGACAATGCTAGCAGACTTCCTCCTTCAAGAATAGTAAATGTGCATTTTAACTTTATCATCTCAGAGCACTGTTCAGCATTTCAAATATAAGTCAAATACATTCAGTTCCCTAAAAACATCCTAAAATCAACACAGTTTATAATTCATCGTTGGACAGTGGCTGTGAAGAGACATTAATTTAACATTTTAAACAACAATATTTTAAACAGCAATATTTAAACCACATTTACAAATACAGCAGCAGTACTAAAACACCAGTTGGCAGCACTGCCACCATTTTTTTTTGTTTGTTTGTTTAAGCAATGCTTTTATTTTATTTTTACTTATTTTTTTTGAATTTTAGAATTTTATTTATTTTTTTATACAGCAGGTTCTTATTAGTTATCTATCTTATACATGTTAGTGTATATATGTCAATTCCAATCTCCCAGTTCATCCCACCACCACCACCCCCTGCCACTTTCCCTCCTTACTGCCACCATTTTTTAATAAAAACTAAGTTAACGCCAATAAAGATGTTAAAAAAAAACCGAAGTTAAAACATTGCACAACAGCAGAAGAGCTTTGGGAGTACAGTTGCTATGACCAACCTAGACACTCCCAGAGCCCTTGTTCCACTTAGGAAAATATTGTTAACCTGCTACGTAGAAGTCTGATTGACAAAGCACATACACGTTGAAAATGACAATAACAATAATAATGTAGAGATAAGGAAGTTATCATTTCTATAGCTAAGAAAATATAAGTGAAAAGCGCTGGTCTGCAGTTGAGGCTACATATAGCACAGAGTTCAAATAACAATAAAAAGATAGAAAATACTATAATTTCTCACAAATTTAAGAGGGAAAATTGGTCCTACCACTTACATTCTCTGATGCAGTGGATAACTAAAATAGTAGCCCAAAGATGAGGTTTTAGAGACTAACACAAGTAGACTTAAAATGCATCTCCAATAGCCTACCTTGAAGTACCTCTGATAAGTTATAACGGAAGTCCTTTGCTTTGGCTGCATGCATACAAAAACACGAAAATTGTTACTTGAGCTTAAATGTACACATCTTCTAAATCTCTTCTTTTGTCTAATAGACTTTGCTTCGCAACATCATCAACATAAATTAACAGAAGCACAGATCTACTCAGAAGTTCATCTCCAAACTAAAATTCTTCCTCTATCGCTCTTACCAATCTACTCGGAGACACTTTCCTCGAAGTACAATAATAAAAATAAGCAGCTTTAACAAAAGGCAGATTACACGTGTGTTTTGTTATTCTTTGCCTTCCCCCCCAGAAAGATGGCTGGCTATAAACTAATAAGTAAAGCAAAAGTGCAGAATGGTCTATGGAAGGGAGGGGATTTTCTCTGCGACACTGTACATACAGAGAAAAGTGTGCATTTTTTTCAGTGAAAAGGTCCACAACTTTCACTGGATTATTAGAAAGGAAGGCCATTTACTCACAACAGCCAAAAAGTGGAAATAACCCCTATGTCCATCAATGATGAATGGATGAGCAAAATGTGGTGAATCCATACGATGGAACATAATTCATCCATAAAATGGAGTAAATACCAAACCTTGAAAACATTACACTAAGTGCAAAACAACAGACACAAAGGGCCACATACTGTATGATTCCATTTATATGAAATGTCCGGAATAGGCAAATACACCAAGTGTATTAGTGCTTGCCAGGAGACAAGAAGAGGGGGATGGAAATATTCTGAAATTAATAATGATGACAGCACAAAATTATATGTTAAAAAACAGTGAACTGTACATTTTTATATATTTACAATATTGAATTTTATCTCAATTACAAAAAGAGACTTGGTCAGGTGAAACAAAAAAAAAAGTATGACTCCAAAAATTATAAAGAATCATTAACATAAAAATACGTGAAAAACTGCAGTGATTATGGGGAGAGAAAAGGAAGTGGAGAGGAAAGGAAGACAACTATCAGAAATAACACAGCAACTTCCTCAGAACATCCTACAGGCCACACCTACACATGCACATGCACGCACACACACACTCACATCCACACACAACAGTTCCAACAAGGACACAGAGGTGTGTGCTTGGAAATGCTCTCTTTAAGGCAGGGTCTTGCAAACTGTTTATGATCCATTCACGGGTCCTTAAATAAATTCAGTGGCTCCTGACCAGTATTTTAAAAATTCATAATACAACGAAACAGAATAGAAATTCTAGAGTACTGCATGTCGCAAGAGTACGTACTGTCAAAACTTTTTGGTGTGATATATAGACAATATAAAACCTATTTTTTTCTATGACAGATCATGTTCAAAGAAGTTGAAAGTACCACAGCAAGGTAACCCTGATAACATCCCCTTCTGTTCCTTCCCTACTGAGAACCACTGGGAGGCTACATAATTGACAGTACCAATAAGAAACAATATGAAAATCCTTACCTAGCACTTCCTCGTAATCAACAAGATCAAACCAGACCACAGCTACCGATGTCCAGACTCCGAGCAATGCAATGACCATAAACCACGTGAAAAACGAACTTCCAGAAAGTCCTCCTTTCCTCCCATTCTTGTGTCCTCCATGCTTTGTCTCTGTTAAAAAAATAAAACAGACGGACAATGTCATTATATAAGAAGAAAACACTTTATTGAACCTCTTTTCACTGAAATATTTCTCCAGGAATTTGAGAGTACTTCCAATGGTAAATCACTTCAAAACTATCAATAGTTTTCACTTAAATTCTTAAATCATGTTACACAAAATAAAGATTTTAAAAATGGAAAAGACTATGCTTAGCCTCAATACCACATATGTATGACCCTAACTTCTAAGTAACGAAAGAAATAAACTACTAATGGGCTAGCGATGCTTTTAAAATAAAAATTGATATGTGTATTCCTTCCAAGTTCTTTATCTAAACGACCTAAATATAACCTCCTTCAAAGCTCAGAGCATATCAACAACTTAAAGAGATCATAAGTGTAGCCAAAGCCTTTTTTTTTCTGTCACATTTAGTTTCTGTAGAATCTTGAAAACTGTAACTGCCACAGAAGAAACTCCCCCCAAAACGCTTCATATTCTTAGCCAGAGAGACAGAGATGAAGGAAGGAAACTATTTATAGGAAACAGAGGTCAGGGAAGAAGAGAAGCCAAACAGTGCAATTTAGTCCTCCTCGACAAGATCCACTGGGACCCAGGGAAAAAGGGAAAGGTTTTCATAATTGGTCTCGACGTAGGATACAGTTTTGTAAAGTGCGGTCCACCACAATGTCATATATCACATTTGATATGTTTAATATACTTTATACTCTTCTGCAAATACTCGTACAGCCAGAAATAAACAAAAATAATGATAGTCAAGTAATGTTAAGAGAAAACGGTCAACACTGTCCTTAAAAGGACCATAAAACTCAAATTTCTCTTAAAAAGGAATATGATAAATATTAAATATTAATAAATAAATTAGAAAAATATGTCATATCTCAACACGCCCTTTGGGAAAAGGAAAAATTTATCAAGCAAGTAGGAAAGTAGGATGCTACCTTCCGCTGGTGGAGCACGTCACCTCCTTTACGTGCCTGCGATTCTCACAAGGGTCCTGTCAGTGTTTCTCAAGAGGGCGTTTCTGGGTTTAAACAGGACAATTCTTCATCCTGTGCGACTGTTCCGCACACTGCAGGGCAGCTGG